GGTGGGGTTTTTTTTTTTTTTGCATTTGGTGGCCCGTCCCCGTTCCCACCCGTGGGCGGCGGCCCCGAGTGCCGCGTTTTTGGTGCCAACGGGAACCCTGGCCAGGTTGGGCCCCTTCCCTTTTCTCCCGGAAACCCTTTAGATGTGGCGGTTGGAATAGTATTCCTTTCCTCCTTTTCGCGGTGTGTGGGGGGGCTTGGTATGGGGAAAGCCACCAGCAACGCTTACGATGTCCGTTCCGTTGGGCTGGGCGTTCATCCTTCATTCCCGATATTCTCGTTGGATTTTCTTGTTTTTATCCACTGGGGAGCGGGCTGGGGGAAAATAAAACCTTTCGGCACCCTGGGGTGTTTTTTGTTTGCAGGGGGTTTCGGTGTCCCCCGGGGGCGGGGGGGGGGGGGGGCCATCCCCGACTTTTTGAAAGGTTTGGGGGACTACGCCCAGTGGGGGGACATGCCCCCCAGGACCGGGTTTGGAGAAGTTTTCTTTCGGGAATGGTTCCATTCCAAAAAAGAGGGGGCAGAGTAGAAACCCCCCAAAAAGGGTTTGTTCAGTTTTCCCTCTCGAAGTTTTGTCTGCGAGGACACCTTGGTTGTTCCTGGGTGTTTTTGTCACCAAGGAGGAGAGCAGTGAAAAGGTCATGCACCGGGGTGAAGGGGGGGGGGGGGGGGGCGACGCCGGAGACCCGCTGAACGGCGGGACGGAGCGAGACGCGAACTGGGTTAGGCCTGCGGGGCGACCCAGAGTCAAATGCGGCCGCCTTCCCGGGTTCCCTGATTTTACCTGAGGCTCCGACAAACGTCGCGGGCATCTGTTTACCCAAGTTTGCGTATGCGAGATCGGTGGTATACAGCAGAAGCCAGGTTCAAAGGAGAGCTATCGTCGTGTTTTGCTTGGGGTGGTGCCTGTCGTAGATTTGGTCTTGTCGGCCACTTTTCCTCTTTCTGCATTTGTGAGCTCGGGGCAGGTTGGTGTTCTGGCTACCCTTTCCGTGCATTTTCCTGTCCCTGGCGGCTAGAATTAATACAACGACCTTTTGGTGCCTTCGCTCGACCCGGTTGAGCTGAGTTGGGCTCTTCTTCTCAGTCGGGTTGCGTTTTTTTCTGGGCAAATAAAGGCGCGATGGGGAAACATAAACTCGCGATGACCACAACAACCGATCGTGTTGTCGGCACTAAGTTAAGCTAAGCGCACGAGCCGCCGCGAAGCACCCGCTGTCTTTGGCAATGGGTCCTTTCGCCCTGTCTCTTACGCATATACCATCCAAACTCTCGGCGAAAACGAAACTCACTTAAAATACGGTTAACACGCCGTTGGGCATTGTTGGACTACCGACACCTAGTGCTGTAGCGGGCCTTCATACGTGGAAAAGAGTACCCCACGCCGAGCACCCAAGCAGGACGTGCGCAAAGAACGAACACTGCAACATTGTCACGGCGTCGCCGTAGAAAGTAGCAACATGAGAATCTGGATTCTAAACGTTGTTGCGGTGCGGTTGCTGGGCAACCAGCAGCGCTGTCCGACCGTCCCATCGCTGCAGGACCTGAACACGACAGGGCACGCATCGTTCAACATGAAGATCGTGCTCTCCGTACCTGTTGCTTTCCAGGCTAGAGACACTCCACGACGTGTCGAAGCCAGCAAACGTACATAGTGCCCCCCAGCAGCCGCATTTCGGGGGGGAACCGCGGATGGTATTCTTGCCAACCCGAACATGTTTCGAAACGTGGAGATATGCCTCCCCTCTCCCAAACACAAAAGGAATAAGTCAAAGGTGTACTACTAGAAAACAAGAACAATTCGTAAGTTTTCGCGTTCCCATACAACTCGACTGACTCGTTCCCCCGACTCGTCACGCCACGCCGTAGCACACATGATGCGGCAATGCACGTGTTGTTGGCGGAGACTAAATGTAAACCGCCGATGCATCTAGCAGATGTCGATGCCGATGTCCATGTCGTCTAATGCCTTGAATCTGTTTGTATCAAATGGAGAGGAGAAGGATGTTGCGCGTGGAGGGGGGTCGATACGGAAGAACACGTGAGCACGAATCCGCGACGAGGAATTCTTGACACGGGAAAGCAGAGCGACGTACCGTAGAGAGCGGACAACACTTCGTGGCAAGACTACTAATGTGATGCTAATTCACAATGCAACACCACCCATACCAGTCCTATGTGGCGAAACGTCACTTGGAGCAAAAATGCCGTGGTGTATGCAGTAATACTGCCGCTGCACGCTCGTCTGTGTATTTTCTCTTCCGTTAACTCTCTTCTTCGCCCTTGGTGCCTGGCATGCATCAGGACGACTGGAGAAAGTTGGGGGAGGGACATGGAGTACCATCACCGGTTGTGGGTCTTGTGCTTTCTGGACGACGAAACTTACAACTATTTTTTTTCCAAACTCCCCAACGTCACCCCCTGTAGCAAAAACAAACAGACGTCAAATCATTCAAACTTTCTGGGACTGCAAAACGAAAACCAACTATTCATAACCAAAAAGTGAGCGCTCCGCACTCACAGGTACATGAACTCAGTCAAGGTCATCGTATCGGCGTCCGGCCTTTTCTCTAGCACGTGCGTCCCGATCAACTCCGCAAGCTGGGCGGAGTCCAGCTGTAGACAGCAGCAGCAGCAGCACATCAAACGGGCACGGCGAAAAAAATTGAGAGGCAACGCCCCGCGTGTACTTCCTGCAAATACCAAGCTAGGGTAACCGAGTCAGTTGCCACCGCCACGGTTCATAACCACGGGAATGTCAGGGTTTGCCACCGGAGAAATGTCGAAGACCTAGGAATTGACGGCGCGATCAGAAGCAACTCACGGTCGGTCCTTTTGATTCCCACCGACCGCGAGGCCGGCTCGTTCTTCGCGCTCTTTGGCTGGATCCATCTCTCGGGGAAGCGTTGTACAGGGGCGCGAAGCGAACGAAACCATCGGGCAAGCCCCGAAAGACAGTAGGCAACCGGCACGCGCTCACGACCACCCAGGCACGCACCCCCTACACTCACTCACAGGCGCTGCATCGTCCTACGTAAACACTCGTCCTGGGTAAAATCGTCCTAGGTGTAACACGAGAGGAACGAACGTCCTCGCCTGACGATTCCAAACCCACCTCGTCTTGAAAGCCGAGCTTATCCAAAACCTTGCCGACGTCTTCGAAAGCCAGCAGCCCCTGCTCGTTGTCGTGAACGTCGAAGGCGTCTCGCGCTTCGTTCACCTACGAAAAATTGGTTGGGCAAGGCGTGACGCGGCGTGACACTGCTGCACCACGAAGATTCCCGAGACTGGGTTGGACACATATGCTTGTTCTGCCGACGCAACACGGTTCGATGTCCCCGCATGACAGGCTCGGCGTTTCGTTTGTTGTGTCGCTCGTTGTGATTGTTTTGTTGACGCTTGTTGTGTTCGTTGTTGTTGATTTTGGAAAACTCGTGGCACAATGCTCGGTTTTGCCCACGGTCCCGTCGTCCTTCACTCACTTCGGATCACGAACACGTCTGCCTTAACTGCGAAGAACAAGAATAGTTGGCACCAAACGCCTCCTTCCTACCATAACTTGCACATGCATTGCAACCTGCTCGACGAGTTTCCGGGACAACTTTCACACCAATCTTCGCGCAAAAAACTAAACACGCATGTACGCAAACGTAGCGCCCATTTTGACAAAACGTGTGTGGATGAACATCTGCGACAAAAAAAGCACCTTCTGCTAAGGCCAGGGAATGATTCCTCAGACACAGACGGGAGGTGGCGCCGCACCCGCGCAACAACAAGCGACGCCAACCTTCATGTTGCTCAGCCCCCCCCAAAACGACAAAATAAACGTCAACCGGCAGTTTGCCCAATCCCCCCCCCCCTAAAAACAAATTCCAACCTGCATGTTGCCCAGCCCCAGGCGTTCCCCCAGCACCGAGGCCTCCGCGCGCATCTTCTGCACAGCGTCCTGCTCGTCGATGGTCACGGTGATCTCTTGCCTCAACCCCTGCTCTACCTCCGCCATGGTCTCGTCCACCATGGGGTCCGCCACCGGGGGCGGGGCAGCGGCCGCGGCTTGAGCCTTGGTCGCCTCGTCCATCATGCGCTCGAGCTCCTGGATAGTTCGGGGGGGGGGGGGGGGGGGTGGGGGGGGGGGGGGGGG